ACATACCAGCATAGCCACTATGCCTTCCTGTAACAGCTAATCCTCTACGACTCGTTAATAATCACTATAAACTGCAGGGCAAGAGAAAGTATACACTTGACAATTAAATTTTACCTAAAGACTGCAAACGTTGTCAAAACGTTTACAAGGCTGAAAACTGTCGCCGAAACACAGCTAATTTAACCAAATATGATCCCCTTATCAAATACATCTCATCCGAATAATTATTTCTTGTTTGTTTTAGTTTAAGGCAACATCAAACATGGGGATATGCTTTCTATTGCCTGACAGTTTAGATAATGAACAAGCTTTTAATAAAAAACTTCCTTGTTAACAATATTGAATTTTATACTGCCAAAATGAATATAAAACCGCTGAAGTTTTTTCTATTTAACGTTAAAATAGAAAAGTGTTTCGTTAGACTTTAGGTTTCTATGTGATACTATGTACGAAACAGCTGTTAGTTTACTGTATTTAATGAATATCATTTTAAACCTACTATCGATTATCGACCCAGCCGCCTCGACTTATGTGAGGTTAAACAAGAATGAATAAAAGACTTCTACCGCGATTCAATTTCAGCCATCGTCTGAATGGCCTTGATTGTATCACTTTAGGCCCTGGCAACTTCACTTTAAGTCAATAGTCATGATAATTGCACTGTAAAGTCAAACATCGTGACAATTGCACTTTAAAGTCAACCGTCATGATAACTGCACTGAAAGACAACGGTCATGACAATTGCACTTTAAAGTCAACAATCATGACAATTGCACTTTAAAGTCAACAGTCATGACAATTGCACTTTAAAGTCAACAATCATGACAACTGCACTTTGAAGTCAACTGTCATGACAACTGCACTTTAAAGTCAACTGTCATGACAACTGCAATGAAAGCCAACGGTCATGACAATTGCAATGCAAAGTCAACAGTCATGACAACTGCACTGAAAAACAACGGTCACGACAATTGCAATTCAAAGTCAACAGTCATGACAGGTGCCCTGAAAGTCACCAGTCACCAGCTGAAATGTGAGGACAATGGTGTCATATATCAGCTGAACTCTGAAGTCTGTTTCCTTTATTTACCAGCTAATGTATTTGTATTTTCCAGTCAATTTCAATATGTCAGCTGCAGTCGGCATTACACATGCATTGAGCAGCAGCCTCGTGGATGCATAGTGCTGTGCACCAGTGCGCGCACCAAACCATCTGATGATTATGGCTCTACCGATGAAGCCGTATTCATTATCAGTAGTGCTGGCGATGCTCAATCCGCTGGAACTGTTTCGCACGCTATGCCACCGTGCGCTATGGACGTCCATGCTGCCGGGTCAGGCGATGGTTGTGGAGCTGGAGGTAACATGTTCTACAAAGTACCACGTCACACAGCTCTCATAAGTGCAAATCGAATCCTACTCTCAGTGATTTCATAAACATATCCGCCGTCGCATAATGCCGACCTGAGTCGATTGGTAGAGAAGAAGGGTTTCTGAAGCATCCTAGCGTGGAGAACTAGTTGACAGCTTTGATCGCAAGTAGCAGCATAGTCGGACATTTCAAATATTTTCGCCTAATTGTCTATTTTGATTTCTCATTCTCATCAGCGTTCTCTTACCTTATTGCTACTTATTATCAACATTTCAACAATTGTGCTTAAAATCTCAAGTATATGAGCTCTGACCCTGGTGCCGTTTCGCCATTTCACTCAAAGAGTGAGTGAGTGAGTATAGTTTTACGCCGCTTTTAGCAATATTCCAGCAATATCACGGCGGGGGACACCAGAAATAGGCTTCACACATTGTACCCATGTCGGGAATCGAAACCCGGGACTTCGGCGTGACGAGCGAACGCTTTAACCACTAGGCTACCCGACCGCCCTTTCAATCAGAGAGGGAAAAGTTAAGAATTACATGTTAATATGACATCTTCTGATCATTTACACTTAATCGAGTGAATAAGTGGGTATGATGTTAAGTCAGCAATTTAGTTTTTAATTCAATGTTATTTAATATTATTGTACACCTAATCAGTCACAGGTTACAGATTCCATGTCACAGCTGATAACTGAGAGTCTCGCTTCATTATTTACTATGAAAGTAACAGACATTCAGCTTTAGGATGATATTACGCATTGTTGTGTTTGAATTTGAATTTTTATATGTTTTGTAGAAATATATTTTTAAATTAGATAACTTTATTACTGGGACTAAATGTTGGTAAACAACGATCCCTTTGTACATCACGGGTGCGGCTGACCTGTATTAATACATAATCGTTGATGGAGATTTTCGTGAGTGAGTGAGTAAGTATGGTTTTACGCCGCTTTTAGCAATATTCCAGCAATATCACGGCTGGGCTTCACACATTGTACCCATATCGGGAATCGAACCCGGGTCTTCTGCATGACGAGCGAACGCTTTAACCACTAGGCAACCCGACCGCCCCGATGGAGATATAAAGTACATACAGCAAGTTTGTGTAGAAAAACAAAATGTTTTCACATCTGGTGTCACATAACGGACACTGGCCTTATACATGATCCAAATGATATACAACCAGCTGTGGATGTCTACAGGTCATAAAACAAAACAACCTGTGTCTGCACTTTAAACTGATACTGCTTACATTTAAATGGATTATCTCCCTTTTATGAACTCTCGGCACACAGGCGTGCATTATTAACGAAATAGTTGCAGCTATATCTGGCTGTTGCCACTCCTTCACCTGCAGCCAAAATAGTTGCAAGGTCACCATGACCTTCTTTCTGACTTCCGCCAGCGCGTGAGAACATGGCGTGTTGCGTAAAAAGAACGCTTAAATCAAAATAACAAATAATTAAATGATTTATATAAGTTATTGCCGTTTCTCCCACGACCGACACAACCACACAGAAGGAGTACATGCAGCATATACGTCTTTATGTGTAGAAACTTGCAATGAGATTTTGACAAACTGTTTTTAAAAAATACAGACGTTGATTACGGGGTTTTTTTAATCAAGAAAAAGAAACATACCTTTGGCTGCACGAGATATACCGGTTTGCCTGACTTTATTGGTGGATCAAAAGAAAGCCGTGGTTTGGTGGGCACACGCTTCAACACCATATGTTTAATTGGTCAAAAGAAGGAGCCAGTTCAAACGAGAGTATTGATGACGCAGCGGCTGCGGTACATTTAAAATGCATTGCAAGGACAATAAAATCCAAAATTACTTCTGAATCTAGAATACCATAAATATCAAAATAGGGATCTTATAATGAAAGGGAATTTTATACATCGGGCGACTCGTAGAGTCTGGGTTGAGTCATTGTACTTTTTTCAAATTTCTTTTACAAAACATAATGAACAGACAATTACTGGTTAGTCATAGATTGGAAAAAGGTCAGCGCGTTTCGTTTCGTAGCTCTATCACGTGTGTCCTTTGTGTCATCGTAGATCGTGTTATCGTTAACATTGCTGTCTTTGTTGTTCCTATCGTGATAAAAATGATCGCCCTCGGTATGATGATGATGACGATGACGATGATGATGACGACGACTGGGTTTTAAGCCGCTTTGGATAATAATAATAATAATAATTATAATAATAATAATAATAATAATAATAATAATAATAATGACAACTATGCAGATGATGTCGTTGATGATGCTGATGATAAAGAAGAAAAAGAGAATAACTTTCACTAACAACCTCAGCATTACTTGGGGGTCTACAGGCCCGACAAGACGATGACAACATCTTAATGTCAGCTTGACCCAGCAGCCATGTACTGTTAATCACGTGGTTTGTCCCCGTCACTGTCAGACGATGCCCGTTAAGACATACCTCCGGTCAAAAACCACACCAGACACCGCGTATTCACTTATTGTCATGGTAACAGGACACTCGACATCGAAGGTTATGGTGCTGGGAGTACGCTATCTACTGGAAATAGGTTCCAACACTAAATCACCAATGTTTCAAGACATCCTTCGTCTGTATTCAAAGAAATAATAGCACAACGGTTGCCAGAAATTATTTTCATTAAATTCATTTCATCACTAACGTTTGCCATGCTGTTCAAAATGGGTAAACATTTATGTCACGCATAATTTTTAGGTGATACTGAAAGAGACGAACACTTATGGTACTGTTGCCAGTATTGACATATTTTGAAAATTAATAAAGAAAATTATGTTGAAAAACACTTCAGGAAAAAAACCTAGGAAACCATAACTGCCACCAAAATAATAAATAAAAAATGAATAAAAAAAATATAAAATATAATAAACTTGATTTCATGCGAAGATGAACTTTTCCAATACCGGCTGTTAACAAACAACAAAATGCTGACACAGCTATACATATCTGTGGCCTCTGGCTACAGGCGGGTATAATGATTTCACAAGTCAATATCAGGAAGAATAACAGTATAGTTAATTGCGCGGCCTTGGAGGAAGCCAACACAGTCCAAGCATTATTAATCCTTTCTCTCATATACGATCAATTTTTATGGGGAAAACATATAAAAAGTGTAATCTCTCCGTCCACCCACCCACAAGTTGGTAACGAACCCGATGCGTCCCGTGTCTATATACACAACATTGTCATGTCCGGCTGTTATTGTCAACTCATCAATTAACATCCTCCCACTACTTCCGGTTGACGTATCTACAGTTATCTCCCTTGAACATTTACTGCTGACGTCGGCGATATGTCGCAATCGTGTGTATGTTATTTGTAAAGTGCCCTTATTTGAGCATTTATTGAGATGTATCAGCTTTTAAACCGTGGCTGGCCTTAGCAAATTGTTTCGATTGGAACGGTAAATGTGATTTGAAATCATATTCTTCACCATTAAATGAATGCTGTAAATCTGAAGGAGAGTACACGTCTCGTTTGTCATCGAACCATCGTCGTAATGTACTGACTTGGACAATCTTAATACATGGTGCCGGGGGGTGGGGTGGAATGTGAAAATGGGGTGTGGGGGTGGGGGTGAATGTAAGGGTAGATGGTTATGGGGAGAGCATGATGCCGGTGGGTGTAAGATGGGATTGGGTAGGGAGGGCATGGTACTTGGATGTGTGTGCTGGGTGGATGTATTTGATGATGGTGGTGGGGAGGGCATGGTACTTGGACGGGTGTGCTGGGTGGATGTATTTGATGATGGTGGCGGGGAGAGCATGGTACTTGGACGGGTGTGCTGGGTGGATGTATTTGATGATGGTGGCGGGGAGAGCATGGTACATGGGTGTGTGTGCTGGGTGGATGTATTTGATGATGGTGGTGGGGAGGGCATGGTACTTGGATGTGTGTGCTGGGTGGATGTATTTGATGATGGTGGTGGGGAGAGCATGGTACTTGGGTGTGTGTGCTGGGTGGATGTATTTGATGATGGTGGCGGGGAGAGCATGGTACTTGGACGGGTGTGCTGGGTGGATGTATTTGATGATGGTGGTGGGGAGAGCATGGTACTTGGGTGTGTGTGCTGGGTGGATGTATTTGATGATGGTGGTGGGGAGAGCATGGTACTTGGGTGTGTGTGCTGGGTGGATGTATTTGACGATGGTGGTGGGGAGGGCATGGTACATGGGTGTGTGTGCTGATACTGATACAAGGGCATGAGTAAGGGGATGTCATGATGGGGAGAACGAGCGATAGTGAAACAGGCAAGGGGGAGGAGTGTGTGGAAGATGGTTAAGATACTTATTATCTCGTATTGACACCCCCCCCCCCCCCCCCCCCCCCCCAACCCCCAAAACAAACAAACAAAAAACAAACAAAAAAACGATTAGGATAAACGTAAACGCTCTCAGTAAGACCGAAACAGCACAAACTGTTCACAGTGACGACAGATCTATGCATTCAACGGTTCAAAATAGCCTTCATTTTAATATATTATAACAGAAAGGAGCATCTTCATCCACTACGTGAGCGCAAGTTGCTGTCAGAATCTCTAGTAACTGTTACCCAGATGTTTCAAATCAATGGTGACTAGGAGCCCCAGTGATTAACCCAACCGCTCGCCTAGCAGTTCACATTGGTACTGGTGTCTGCATGGCAAAAATATGAGAAGCCATTCTTGGTGCCCCAGTCCCCTGCTCCTTAACTAATAAAGGCTGGAAAAGAACTCAAAGCACTTCTTCAATCTGTTGGTGAGACAGGTTTCTACTTCAAATCTGTGTGAGTCATCGCGAAGTAATAATTACTATCCTACGTACTCCGGTAATAAAATCCTTTTCACTGTATGAAAGGTTAAACGGCCACGCCGTCAAACCCAATAATCTAGTGCTGGGTGAACCGGAGGTTTGATCAACGAGAGACACCAAATAGCGATCGTTCAGCATCCCTCATCAAACTGTTAGATCCCAAGCAAACCAAATACGGACTTTGTTTGAAACTTCTACACTGTAGTCACGAAACTAACCGCGTGTTATAAACTCGACATTGCACCAAATACCGCCATTGTCTCAACCAACATCTCTGTGTAACTCCATACACTGTCGTCACGAAACTAACAGCGTGTTATAAACTCCACATTACACCAAATACCGACATTGTTTTAACAATATTTCTGTGCAACTCCATACACTGTAGTCACAAAACTAACAGCGTGTTATAAACTCCACATTACACCAAATACCGCCATTGTCTCAACCAACATCTCTGTGTAACTCCATACACTGTAGTCACAAAACTAACAGCGTGTTATAAACTCCACATTACACCAAATACCGCCATTGTCTCAACCAACATCTCTGTGTAACTCCATACACTGTCGTCACGAAACTAACAGCGTGTTATTAACTCCACATTACACCAAATACCGCCATTGTTTTAACAATATCTCTGTGTAACTCCATACACTGTAGTCACAAAACTAACCGCATGCGTTATAAACTCCACATCACACCAAATACGGTCATTTTCGAATCAGGAGCTCTGACGTCCAAACACCAAAGGCACAGAATTGACTGCGTCCGATATAAACTCCGCAGCACAGCATCACATTCATTACTTTAACCACGAGCTCTGAATAACTCCTGAGACCGTAGTCAGAAAACTGACCGCGCACGTCATAAACTCCGCATCACGCCATTTACATCCATGAATTAAAGGAATTCGTGTCACCTTTGACACTATCCAAATACTGACCTTTCAACGTCTCGTATAAAACTCCTTACACCACACTCAGATACTGACCCTCACCTCCAGTGTGACAGTACACATCACATAATTCCATTCAGGATTTAGACAAGGGTTTCGCGGTACTCCCGACAGCGCAATACAGCGACGCCATCGTCATATCTAACCCTTCAATGCCAGACTGGATCAGATCATGGCGTCTATCCCATCAATCCGACAGCGATCGACAAGAGGCTGTCGAAAGCTCCGCACTTCCGAGGGGCTGTATTTTTAAAGCAATATTACTCTTGACAAGCTCATAATACTATGTTAATCCTATTTTCTACTCCAAATCTGCGGGAACAAAAGCGTGTGCCTAGTTATCGATTAGTAGTACTGTTAGTCGTCATGGATAAACCTGAACAGTCTCCTATGCTTACAGAAACACAGTTCGATGCATAGACCGACGAGGGGGGTTGTCGTCGATGTCGTTGACGTGGGATTACAGTTAATGTAACGATACATCTGAGCAATTAGATTAGATACCGAAAAAGCTCAGACGTAAGAAATATATTTTTCGCGTCAGACTTAAATACACTGGGTAGGTATGTAGGTGAATGTTTGTTGTTTAACGAAGGCATTCAGTAATATTCCAGCTATATGACAGCAGTCTGTACATAACCGGGTTTTGACCAGACAATCCAGTGATTGACATCATGAGCAGCGATACTCAATTGGGATACGATGAAATGCATCAACCAAGTGTGCGAGCCTGGCCACCCGATCCCGTTAGCCGCCTCTAAGGGTTACATGAAGTTGGTAGACTAGTTACCACGGTAACAGGATAGCTAACCAGTTAGATTTGATAAGACTACATGTACTTCCATGGGTCGTAGTCAGTGACATTTAATTGTAAATGACTACTAACGATAAAAATACAGTGTAATCACATGTGCTGACTATTTTTTCAGAAACATTATACATAGAGAAGTTATTTTTATGGCCATATGACTTAAGAACCTATTCCTGATCAATTTGAAGTCAGTGTCAATTTCTCAGAACTGAAATATATGCACCTGAATTATTTAAAATATTTGCTTTAGTCATAAGCAGGAACGAAAATGTAGTGTTTTGTTGTTTAGTTTATAACACGACCTTGAGTCCTAATGATCCCGATAAATGTTAGTACTAATCACTTTTCGTAATGTCGTGTCACTTAGCCTGCTGATAACATGTATACGCCAGGGCCAATTACACTTGCTGCATTCTACAACGTAGTTGACATATTTAATACTCCTTGCGCCTAAAATGTGCAGTCAAATCGGACAAACAGTATATGCTAAGTTATGTGAGGCAACTGCCGAAATAACGCTTCTGGTCATGTGTTTACTATTTCATAAATGGCAATTCTACTCTGGCCATTTTTTTGTTATCTGTCGACATATAAACTTATTGTTCAATAACAGCGATGATGGTAATAGTGATACAATTGATAATAATAATAATAATAATAATAATAATAATATCCAAATTTACAACGAAGGCACACCTACTACTACTACTACTACTACAACTACTACAACTACAATTACTACTACTACAACTACTACTACTACCACTACAACTACTACTACCACTACAACTACTACACTACTTCTTCTTCTACTACTACTACTACTACTACTACTACTACTACTCTACTTCTACTACTACTGCTGCTGCTACTATTGCTGCAGTTATTGCTGCTGGTGGTGGTACTCGTGCTCAGAAGATAATTTAAGCAGATAATCTACATAATCAATTGAATTATGCTATTTGGGTTTATTTTAAATTGATTTAGTCATACTTGATAGAGGAAGACCCTGTATTCGTTCATTTCGATGTTCGGGAAAGGAGATTATGCGGTCACATGATTCAGAATACATATCGAACCGGGGATACTTCGATACAAACCTAGTTGTCGAGATAAACGTAGACTTCGAGACATTCGAAGATTTCGAGATACATGGTGAGCCTCCCTCTTTCTTCGCATGACCTTCATCATATGCTGAAGCACCCAATAGCGGCATGTGCCTCAACACAGCTACTTTAAAATATTCAGACATATGTCGGCGATGGAACAAAAAACTTGATTAACAACACAGCATAGAACAAAAAACGCAGCTAAAGGAATAACACTGTGGATTGATCCTGATGCATGCTGTTGTTTCTGCTGTCAGACACAACCAGTATCAGGCGGATTTACCGTGATCCCGCAAAGATGCATGCCATTCCCAAAGTCCCTTTAAAAAAACATCATGCATCGCGTATTCATAATTGCACGGGGCTCAATGCGCTGTGGCACGCAAAGCGTTCGTTTGCAGGGCATTAGGCAAAGTAGTATTGGAGAGGCAGGTCATCGTCTGAACACATCGACGTTCGTTTTTATAAAGCTCGACATACTGCTATGTCAAACAAGGTGGCTGGGAAACTGGCTCAGGCTTGCTATATGCATTGTGATTCATCTGTTATATCATAGCACACAGCGTGGTGCACGTCTTTCAACATGCTGGTGTATGATTTGTGAATTGTGTGGTTGGAAAACACATGGAACATTGGTTGCCAGGCAATTACAAGTATTGGAATTTTATGCTTATTTTGACATATTCATTGTCTTGCCAGCCAGAGGGGATTCCGTTTTAGAACAGGTCCCCAGCAACCCATGCTGGTCGTATAAAGAGGCGACTAAATGCATCAGTGGTCAGACTCGGTGACTAGGTCCATTGCGTGTCAATATCCCGACAGTGTCGGTCGTTGCTCATAATATCGATCGGTAAATTGCTGGTACAGTCTCGATTATTTACAGGCCGTCGTTATATAGCTGGAATATTGCTGAGTTCGGCGTTATACAAACAAACAAGCAAACAAACAAACAAACAAACACTGATGCTCAAGGCACCCACGAATCATATGACCAAAAGTAGCATGTATTCGTTTGACATGCGAACAATTCGTATGCCAACTGTTTCTGAGTATAACAAGTTTAAGGTAATATCAAAGGCTGTTCTTGTTTCTTTGTTTCTCCAACCCTAAAAATCAACCCGACTGTAGAGTTCCAAAATTGTGCTGCATGCCAACTTCGGTTCATCATGTATTTCCCGAGGTCTTTTCCATTCCGAAGTTGCACATTTTGATGTAACCCGCCCTCTTTGGGGAGGGTAGGCCGCGAAACCCTGGAAGGGCGCTAAATTACAATTTGGATTCAGATTGGAATGGTGGATCAATAAAAATATAAATCTAGTCCTCCAACTTAATAAAAGTGATGAGAAAGTTTTTTGTGTGTTTTGGGTGAGTGAGTGACGTTTTACGCAACTTTTGACATTATTTCCACCATGAGGAATCAAAAGTGGAATTTACACATGCGGGAAAAGGAAACAGGATAATAACAGTAATAATAAACTACAGTGAACTACATACTGGTCCAACG